CCCCTCTCTCCTCCTCTCCTTTGCAATGTGGAAGATGTGGAAGATGCTTAATGGATGACAAGGATGGCTAAGAATCTATATGCAGTGCGCTATGGAAATCCGCTCCCTGCCTGGCTGCGGGCAATACTATGGTTTACAAGCCAAGCGAATTTACGCCGCTGCATGCACAAACCTTAGCCGAAATCTACACGGAAGCCGGTCTACCCGACGGCGTATTCAATGTTGTCTACGGTGCCGGCGACGTTGGGGCGTACTTGACTGCTCATCCTACGATTGCAAAAGTTTCCTTCACAGGCCAAGTATCCACGGGCATGAAAGTGGCTGGATCCGCCGCTGGCAACATGAAATATGTCACCATGGAATTGGGCGGCAAGAGCCCCCTCATCATCTTGCCGGACGCGGAGCTCGAGAATGCCGTAGACGGGGCCATGATGGCAAACTTCTATAGTACCGGTCAGGTATGTACTAATGGTACTCGGGTGTTCATCCCCGCTAGCATGAAGACCACGTTTGAGAGGCGCCTTCTGGAAAAGATGCAGTACATCCGTCCTGGGCCTTTATTTGATGACTCAACCAACCTCGGTCCCTTGAGCTCGGCTTTACACCTCGAGAAGGTACTCTCTTACATCCGCCACGGTATCGAAACAGACAATGCTACTCTACTTTACGGCGGTTTGGGCAAGCCAAGTGTTCCGAAGGAGTTGGAATCAGGATATTGGGTGCGCCCGACGGTCTTCACTGACTGCACAGATGACATGCGCATTGTTCAAGAGGAAATATTCGGCCCTGTGATGTCTATTCTATCCTATGAGACGGTGGAAGAGGCGGTCAGGCGAGCGAATACCACTGAGCTCGGCCTAGCTGCGGGAGTCTTTACCAAGGATCTCAACATGGCCCATCGCGTTATTGACCAGCTACAGGCGGGAATTACTTGGATCAATAGCTGGGGTGAGAGCCCTGCTGAGATGGCCGTTGGTGGCTGGAAGAAGAGCGGGGTCGGAGTTGAGAACGGACGCAAGGGTATTGAGGCATGGGTAAAGAATAAGAGCACCCTCGTTGATATGAATGGAGCGGTAGCCACTGTCTTCGCCAAGCTGTAATTGTGACATCTTAAAATTTGTATATATTAATTCCTAGAATGCACAGTGAATTACGTACAAGCCATTTATGGGCTGCTAGTAAGTGGATGATTACTCTTCCACTCCAAGTGGTCGTTATACTGAGTAGCTGGTGTTTGGTGGGTCTAGTGCAGGAACTTCGTATAGTGCTGTTGGGATCAACTATTCGTCGACTCGAGCAAATTGGTCCGTATGAAGAGAAAGTAGTATTGTCCGAGGTCGCGCTCAGCACATCCCATCGGCTAACAATCGTCAATCTATTACACTCTGTAATCCAAAGCTAGCCTTTTGAGTTTCAGCGCGATTCCTTTGCCGCCCAACTTCAAATCACAACCGCTTGCAGGTGGCGCTGTTATATGCTTCTTGTCTAATGAGTTAGAGCACAGCCAATCCCTAATCCCCGGCTAAGTAATCTTCCATCTCAGCTCTTCTGCGAAGATGGCGTTTCCGAGGAGTTTCAAACTTGAGAAAATCATGCTAAAATCAACTGAGTAATCAAGCTAAGCAAACAAGTCGATTCAGTCTTCCGCGGTCAGATTACATTTCCCTTTACATTCAGCGGCTCTTCTGTGAATAACGCCAATCCGAATTCTGTTATATCCTTAAGACATGCAATCAGTGTGAAAGAACCCTAGCTCCCATTCGGTCGAAAAACAAATCGCCCTTCAATGCTGAATCCAGCCCGCCTATCGCCGAGTCAACCATTCGTGAGGACATACTGTCAGGTGTTAATTCATCGTCTTCCATGGAGCGACTCAATTCCGTATTGATTCTCAAATCCTTCGGGACCTTTTGTGGTGTACTTTGGGGGGTAAGTTCCTGGTGAGTCTTGCCCAGCCCAACCGGGCCGGGAACGTACATCCGAGGTCGATAAGTAAGAGGCGGGCCTTGAGTGCGCGCGTCTGTACCGGCTTGTTCGATAGACTCAAAATAACGCACTGTTTTAACCTTCAGCTCCAGAGTCGCATCCCGATCGCAGACAATGAGTGGGTGTGGGTGCAACTGCAAGGCCGAGAGCGTCCACATGTGATTGACGCCCCCTTCAAGGCCCTTCTCCACTGCGAGAGCCTTGTGAGCACCGGTAGCAACTATCACCACCTCCCGTGCCTCCATAATGGTCTGAATGCCAACTGTCAATGCATGCCGGGGTACCTGATCTACATCATTGTCGAAAAATCGCGAATTGGCTAAGATCGTGTCATATGCCAGAGTTTTAACCCGCGTACGACTGCTCAATGATGAGCCTGGCTCGTTGAAGGCAATATGACCATCGGGACCCACACCACCTAGGAAGAGTTCGATGCCGCCGTACCGAGCGATTCTGGCTTCGAAGGAAGCACACTCGACCGCGAGATCCGGAGCGTTACCGTCAAGAATGTTAACATTCTGGGGCGGGATGTCCACATGGGAGAAAAAATGCTTATACATGAAGCTGTGGTATGATTCTGGATGATCCCGAGGCAATCCGACATACTCGTCCTGCTTCGGTCAACAAAAGTTATGCAACTTCGCGGAAGAGAGGAATATACGTACCATGTTGAAAGTCACGACATTCTTAAAGGATATCTCGCCCTTCCTGTGCCGGTTTACCAGAGTCTTGTAGATGATCTCCGGGCTACTTCCGGTTGGCAAGCCGAGTACAAATGGCTGGCTTTCAGTTGGTCGAAACTTCTGGATGCGGCCTGCCTGAAGATTAGATGTGATCCACGTAAGAGTACCAATGCAGGCCACGGCCCAACACGATCAACTTTTCAGGCCTCACGCTGGGGCCGGGGGTTCATCTACATACTGATGATATAATCGGCAATGTATTCCGAAGCCTCCAGAGCAGTGTTGCGGATGATAACTCGCCTATTTCGAAGTGGAGTCAGTCTTGATCCAGGTTTGGAGGATATGTAGCACCTTACATTGTGGAAAATATTCCGTTATGCGGGGAGCGACTTGGCCAATGCCGGGGAAGGAAAATACCAATGGGTATGAGTGAGCCAAGCTTGCCAAATGTGATTCCAGCTAGCAGACAAGTAGAATCTGGTATATAGCGCTGGAAGATGTATTGAAACAGAAGAGGATGGGAATGGAGGGCGAAACAGAAGCTGGGGGTAGCGATCCTGGGTACAAATGTGTAGAGTTCTAGCTCCTGGCTGGGGAAGAGAATGAAAGGAATTGTAGCACTTTGTAAGTGCTTGACAGAAGACAGAAGCGTGGCCACTAGCTTTCTGTCAAACCACGGCTCTGTAACAGTTTCAATTTATGGGGAACGAAAGGGGGTGCGACAGAATGATGTTACTTCGATCTGGACGTTTTTGTAGGTGACGTCCATCGAAGCAATTCCGGCTCGGCTTTAAGGATGATGCCAGCCTACATACCTACTGATTTATCCTAATCACCATCTACTGTAGGTCCAGCAGTCATATGAAAGCATGTGCGCTAGAGGCGTGGAGCTATCGATGACGCAGTGGTCATACCACGGAGAGATTACAGCTGCATGTGCCCCGATTGTCACAGTTGCTATAAATTAGTATGTGAGGGAACGACGAGCAGTGCACAAGAAAGAAAGCCTTTGTTACAAATAGCATTGTCGGAAACTCTGGGCTGAGCATGATAGATACTGTTACAGACAAAGGTGGCATGGGAGCGAAGGTCCACCGGTGATCCACCATCATCATCTATAGGTAGTGAACTTTAGTTTGATAACTATGTTGGTTACATAAAGTTGAAGGAGACGTGACTTGACCTTTGGATAAAAAGAAAGAAAAGAAAAGAAAGTAGAAAAAGTATTAGCTAATCAATCGCCACGCCGTCAAGAGGCTGCGGTTGCATTCGGTCATCCATGATGGCAGCAGGCGAAACCTAAAAATTGAAAGAGATGGAAGTGTTTCATTCCACTGATCCATTCCAGCCATGCAACCCCTCGATGGCAGGAAGGAGGGAGATGGAGTACGCGGGCCTGTTCGGTAACGGACAGTTTCAATACTGCCTTTGAAATGTACTGTAACAACAACAAGACTGTAAGATACAGAATATGTACCTCATTGTACATTCCCGTACAGTGCAGTAGGATGTATGCGTTACAGAAGATAACACAGGGATACATACAGTACAGTACAGTACAGTAGTAGTTAACTTACTCATTGCTTCACCCCGTGCTCATCTGATAGTCTGGCATCATGTGGCCTTGCCTGCAAGTGCCAAGCACGGCACTGTTTGATTCAGTTACCGAATAAATTACAGAATTACTAAGTTTTTCTCTCTCCTCTTTGCGAAGTTTCGGGTCAAAGACCCAGTCATGGTGCCTCTCACTTATCTGAATTTGTGATCGCCCCCCACCAAGTGCTGCTGTTTCGACGCGGAGGTCCGGCCCTGATATAAACTAATGAACGACTGGATAGATGAAATGCATGTGCGAATCAAATGAAGGAATAAATGAATAAATGATTCCCAACCATTGGTCTATAGCTATTCAACTACCGGCTGACATCTTTACTGCTTGCTTCCTTGGTACTCACACGTGCACGCTTCATGTTTTCGTCACTCATGGTTCCAGCCATTATCAATCACTCCTACGGTACCCTTGCGATACACCCCTGGCTTTGTCCAATTAGCGAAGCCAGCCTGCCTGCCTGCCTGGGGCTCTGCCTGGGGAATCCGGAGCTTGTCTAAACTACCGTTTCTGGCACTATCCCCCCACCCTTTTCCAAAGCATCCGTTGACGTCTGCAGCTCATCATCATTTGTTTCACTGCACACCCATCTTCGCACCGGCATTATTGGTTTGGAATAGTTCTTCCACACCGGGCCCTCATGGCCCCCAAAGAGATGCTGCCGCCTGGCTGGGAGGATCTAGACAGGTAGGTTTTAACCTTGGTCTTGGCATATTTTGCTCCTCTCGAATGCCCCTCACCATTTTCTCTGATACTGCTGCTGCATTGCTTTGACCCTTGGATTTGCCTTCCTGTCTTTCTATGTGTGTTTTCAGACGAGGGATGCGCCTCTTATAGCAGAGTCTTCCTCAAGTCATTTAGTAGGTGGGTAAGCAGTTCACTGCTGACAGTTGCGTTATCCATAATGGCGCTTGGACAGGCAGATGGGGCAACTTTTCATGATGGGCTTCGATGGAACATCGGTCAGTCCTCAGATTCGCTCACTCATCGAGAACTACCACCTCGGTTCGGTTCTGCTCTCTGCAAAAAATCTCAAATGTACTCATACGCCCCATCCCCTCTACACTGTCTTCATTGTGGCCTTCACTGATGGCTTCTTTCCCTCGGCCGCCCAATTCCGTCTTTAGACATACGCACTGATATACGTCTAGCTGCAGAAGATGCAACACGGTTGGTCCTTGAGCTGCAGACAATCGCTCGGGATGCTGGCCATCCAGTGCCTTTGCTAATCGCCCTGGACCAGGAAAATGGCGGAGTAAACAGCCTGTACGATGATATCTACATCCGGCAATACCCAAGTGCGATGGGTATCGCTGCGACAGGGTCCAAGAGCCTAGCCCATGAAGTTGCGATGGCGACGGCACAAGAGCTCAAAGCCGTAGGAGTCAACTGGATCTTGGGTCCTGTTCTCGACGTGCTCACCAATGTGCGCAACCAACCCTTAGGCGTCCGCACCACAGGAGACGACCCACAAGAAGTATCACAATACGGCGTCGAATTCATGAAAGGCTATCAGAAGGCAGGCCTCGTGACGTGCGGCAAGCATTTCCCCTCCTATGGTAACTTGGAGTTTCTCGGGTCTCAGACGGATGTACCAATCATTACTGAGTCCCTAGAGCAGCTTAGTCTGACCGCATTGGTACCATTTCGCAATGCAATCCTTCATGGTTTGGACTCGATGATGGTAGGGGGCGTTTCAATGTCATCGGCCGGAGTCAATGTGATGCACGCCTGTCTTAGTGAGCAAGTGGTTGATGATCTGCTTCGGAAAGACCTTCAGTTCAAAGGTGTGGTCGTTTCTGAGTGCCTAGAGATGGAGGCCCTGACCCACAATATCGGCGTCGGTGGAGGGACAGTGATGGCCAAAAATGCCGGGTGCGATATCATCCTTCTTTGTCGCTCATTCCAGGTTCAACAAGAGGCCATCAGTGGCTTGAAGCTAGGTGTGGAGAATGGTATAATCGGGCGCGGACGCATCGAGCAGTCGCTCCGCAGAGTGTTGAGCTTGAAAGCCAAATGCACGTCTTGGGAGCAAGCCCTCAGCCCGCCTGGTCTTACTTTACTCACCCAAATGCAACCGTCCCACACGAGTCTCTCCATACGAGCATACAACAGTTCTATCTCAGTTGTCCGAGACAAGCAGAACTTACTACCCTTGACCAATATTCTCGAGCAAAACGAGGAGCTGCTCCTCTTGACACCATTGGTAAAGCCGCTGCCCGCTTCGGCTGTATCGCGCTCCGTGAACGAGCATTTGAACGTATCTCTTGACCCGATTGCGTGGGATCGAACAGCATCTGTTCTGAGTGGCGAAAGTGTCTTCAAAGAGCTTGGGAGGTCCCTTTCCCGACATCGCAGTGGTCGTGTTTTGCATACATCCTACACGGCCAACGGTGTACGTCCGATTCATGAGGACCTCATTGATCGGGCTAGCGCGGTCATCGTCGTCACCGCCGACGCCAACCGGAACTTGTACCAACATGGTTTTACTAGGCACGTGTCTATGATCTGTAGATCCAAATTCACTCCATCAGGCGAACCTCGCGAGAAACCATTAATCGTGGTCGCAGCAAGCTCGCCTTATGACTTTGCAATGGACTTGTCCATTGGAACCTATCTTTGCACTTATGACTTCACCGAAGCGGCCTTGGAGGCCTTGGTCAAAGTACTTTACGGAGAGTTGACCGCCGTGGGGTCACTCCCGGGTTCTATAAGTCGCAGTCAAAAGCTTCACCAGGCGAGGCAACACTGGCTGGTAGAGAGCTGGAATGAGGATAGGGATGCGCATGCCTTAGACTCCCTACTGAATGCTGTCCGAGATGATTGTGTGCAAGGACAACGTCCGGAGTTGCTAGGTGTAACATCTACCAGCTTTCTGCTCCGCAAAGAAGAGATTGATGAGGCACACTTTGTGGTTCGCAACAGCAGTACTCAGGCTTTATACGGATTCTGTTCCACGTATTACTTTCGATCCACGGGCACTGGCGTCATTGGGTCCTTGATCGTCCATCCCGCAAGACGGAAGCTATCTATAGGGAATTCTCTCCACAATCGTGCCATCCGAACTCTTCTGCACAGGAAGGGCATGAGACGGTTTCAGCTGGGCTCTCGCCTTCCGGGGATTTATCTGGGTATCCCATCAGCAAACCCGGTGGACCGCAAGAGGCTGCGCCAATGGTTTGCGAACTTGGGGTGGAATACGGCCCTTTCACGGCCTGTCTGTAGCGCGGTCCTGCGCAATTTGTCTTCTTGGACGCCAACGGACAGCTTGGTTCACGGCATCCAGCATGCGGACGTGGCCTATGATCTTGTTTATGGCTGGGACTATGCAGATTCGATTCTGGACCATATTGGAACGAACTCCAGGCAAGGGGTTCTAGATATCTACAAAGTGGCTTTGAGAGGATCCCCGCACTGTGGGATCATCCGGGCGACCCGCCCCGGTAATGGTGCTATTTTGGGCAGCGTAGTCGTCTACAATGGACGAGCAGCTTTAGCGGAGCACATGCCGGTTCTGAGATCGCTTCAAATTGCCGCCGGAGGTATCTCGTCTCCCGTCATATCTCCATCGGTCGGCGAGTACGCTACAGTCATGCAGGGCCTGATCTTACTAGGCATCAAGCAAATCCGCAAACAAGGTGCTGAGGCCGTGATAATGGATTGCGTGAGTCATTCTTTCCAAATGTGAAGCGGTCTGCAAAAGGGCGTTATTGACGATTTTTGCTACAGATTGATGGTGACAGCAATCTTGACTGCCTTTCCGGCATGGGCTTCAGTGCCCTGCATAGCTTTGAAGAAATCAATTGCGATGCCGCGACATGGACCATGGCACCTTCCTCGTAGATAGTGCTTTCTGAGCAGCCTCAGCTTTAAACTCTGTGTGATAGCTCCCGAGGTCTGTATATAGTCTTCTCACCTTTGCATGATGATCCACCCGCTGTAAATATCAGTCAATACATCGGACAAAGCAATTCTGAGTCGAATTCGGGGCCATAACGAGCTTCTAGCTATCTTTCTTTCTTCCTTTTTTCTTTTTACCTTCTTTCTCTGTTTTTCTGGGGGGGGAAGGGGGGTTAATGTCATCATAGCGACAGAAGAGACGTGCCGCCGGCGATGCAAGCGTTCCGATCCAACGGGGGCATATCTGCATTCGACTAAGAGTCTGATAAACTGTTTTCGGATGCCGGCGCCCCAACATGGTTGACTGGGTTAGCGGCCTAGTCGCACAATGTTCGGCCAGTCATCTTTTTGCGGACAGCATCATATGTGAGACATGCAGCTAGCTCTAGGCCTGCTTCAGTCTTCGGAGCCGATGCTAGACTGGTAGGGCCAGTCTCTACGTCTACAACTAAGTTACTCGTATATGATATATACACCCGAGTACGGTGATGGGTATATTCGCACAGTATCTCCATGAGTACTTCAGTGATCTAAGAAATATCCAAACTCTTCCTGCACTGGCCACAACAAAGGACATGGTTGATTGAGCCTGGAGTGGTGGGTGGAGTTCCGGAAACAGCAAAGGACATCACAGTCATTTCAGGGGAGACTCGGAACTGGGAATTGGAGGGAATCGAGCATTAGAAGCAAGCTCTCACCAGTTGGCGGGCAGTTCCGGTCAGTTCGGCTCCACCAGGCAAGCTGACCGACCGTAAACTTTAATTAAAAAAGTGATCCCCACTACTCTGGTAAGTAACTTTAACACTTTTAGGACCATCACCGTCTCCGGCCACCTAGACTACGACTACATGCATTCGCAATCTTCTTCCTCAGACTTGTTCCTTCTTCTTTCACCACTATGCGTACTGCATTGTAGGTGCATGTACACCTACATGCGTATCTCTAAATGACCGCCCCTACTCAGGCACAACCGCGAATAAAATGAGGCTGAGGCGCTAAGAGAGGCTTACACAGTAATAACTAAGTTTTAACTAGTACTACTTGAGTCCGTACTCGAGAATCTGTTCAACTCCTTGATTTGTCCATCTGTCTTCAGTATTTTTTCTTTCTTTTCAGTTTTCAGTTTTCAGTTTGTTCTTGTTAGATGAGTACGTGGGTTACTACGGAGTACTGTACCTAGTATGTACTCATTCATATTAACTTACTCGTGCCCCGGGGCAGAGCGAGGGTCTGTCTATCTGAATATGGATTAGTCTTGTTTGTCTGTCCCACCCACCCACCTGCAGTCTACGGAGTACTGAGTACTGACTGACTGGAAGTCAATTAGAGCCAGTCTATCTACGAGGCAACGAATGGTATGTTAATATAGTATCTATAGTATCTATAGTCAGTATCTACAAACGACTGTACTCCGTACTTGTCAACTCAATTGAGTTGTGGAGTGATTAAATTGGATTCATAACTAAGGTAGCTCCG